AATGAGTTGCTGAGGCCCACTACAACAATAACTCATGCTCCCATAAAGCATTCAGTAGAGTCAACATAATTAATTACACGGCCACCTTTTACTCAATAAAGAGAATGAGAAGAATGATGTAGAATATGTTTAGGGAGTGCAGCGTTTTTTTACTCAATAAAGAGAATGAGAAGAATGATTTAGAATGTGTTTAGGGAGTGCAGTGTTCTTGGAGAAGAAGGGTAATCTAGGGCTGCTTTAAGCCATTACTTCGTAAAGATTAATTGTGCCTATAAGAATTAAGGTCCAATATTTGACTCCTAGGCTGTATACCATTAAATCCACAGACCTATTGATGAGTCCTTTGGCTATCTGAAGAACCTGAGATGAGTAGGGAGACGTCCTGGGAGTGACTGACTGAAAGAGTAAAGCTGTCTGCTCCTCTGGTTGGCATGATTATTAGTGAGTGACTGACTGAAGCAATTATCTGAGTTTGAGCTATTTGCTTTAAATGTCACGTAAAGGAATTAGATGCCACAGCAAAAATTGGGAGGAAAGATGATTGGCCATCAGGAGTAGGTGGAGAAGTGTGGGGTGATGTCCAAAGGAGGTTTACTGGGACTGCATTTCAAAATTCAGGGACAGTTGCAGTGGGAGATGTCTATTAAATCCCTCTTAACTACTTCTGAAACCACCACAAAAGAACGCAGGTATTTGGATGTGTACCCCAGAAAGACACTGAGTGCTGGGCTATGTGGGCCAGAGAAATAATCAGCCAGGACAGAGGAATACTCCTGACTTTGTTTAGTAAAGCAATATTTGCACTTGAGATTAGCAGGTGGCATAGCGATTGGGACGCTGGACTTTCTCATGGCCGACTGCAATTCAAGTCCCACATCTCATAGCTTGGAAATCATACCAGGCACATGTACGTGCATGCCCAAAAACCCAGGCGGAAAATGGAGGAAAGGAGATTGCTGTATGGCCATCCTGCCTGGCAGGTGTTTGGGGGTGATTTCTCAATTTCCCTCTCACCGTCTTTCTCTGTCTCTCTCCAGGAAGTTCATGTGCCCTATGGCAAAAACCTTAAAAAAAAAAAAAAAAGAAACAAAATAAAATAAAAATTTATTTTTTCTAAACAGACTCATCCTCCCTATCACTGCAAATGAAGGAGGTTGTAAGTGGAAGAGGGAGGCGGAGATTTTGTTTCCTAGCCCAAGGATCTTTTCTTATTCCAAAGAACCTGGTCTTCTGCTTCAATCTGAAATTAGGAGAGGGAAGCAAAACAGGCTTCAAATACAGATTAAGATGAAATTAAGAAGAAAAGAAAAAAGAAAAGTAAAGAAAGAAAAGAAAAAAAGAGAAAAGGAAAGAAGGCAAAGTAGAGTGTGCCTAAATTACATGACATATGTGTGACTCAGAAGCTTTGCACTCAATTCTGAAGCCATTAAAGAGTCACTAGACTTTATTTCACCCAGGATCATTACAGTAATAGCTATGGGAAGAAAGAGACCTTTACTGTTTGTGTTAGCAATGAGTCGGTTCAATATTAGAGCTACGACGAAATCTAGATATTACTTATATGCCATCTCTCTCGGTAATAAAACAGATACTCCTACCTTTTGCAGGTATTTTGCTTTTTTGTCTTCCAAGATGAAACAAATATTAACATCTAAAATATGAATTAGGGGTCTTGCCTCAATGATCTCCTTCAAAAAGAGTGTAGATTTTCATTTCGATGGATTTAGAACCGTTGTTTCCTTGTTACATACCTCAGAGAATCTAACACATTTTTTCAAAAAAATCAAAGAAAATAAAATGTAGATCGACTCTTTAGTGAGTCATGTTGCATTTTCAGATATAACGTAACTGAGTAATGAGGAGTACAAAAAAGACCATCTCATGGGGTACCTCATGAGGTAACAGATATTTATTGAATAAGAGAAAGCCCTTTCTCCCTACAAATTCTGAATTTACCCAAAAAAACTTTAATTCAAGGAAAGAGGGGAAAGAGATCACTTTGTGATTTCCTGTGATCCATGCTACTCCCTGGAATGTCACTCTCTAGTGCTGAAGTAACTTACTTCACTAGAACCAACCTACAGGGCCGGCCCTATAGCCTAGTAATTAAGGGAGCTGGATCCTACATGGCTGACCATGCAGTTGGAATCTTGGTCCTGGCACTGAGTGTGTGTGTGTGTGTGTGTGTTTGCCCCAAATCCGGATAGGATGGAGAAATGGTGAAAAGGATTGTGATATGACCATGCCCAGGAGAGGTGTTTTCGCCCTCTCTCTTTCTCTTTTTCTATCTGTCTTTTTATGGAGAAAGGAAAAGAAAAAAAGAATTAACTTGGAATACTTAGAAGACATGAGGAATGGTCAATCCATTGCATTTTCAGAATGTTTTATGAGATAGCAACCATTGAAATGGACATTTTACCCAAAGAATAATTTAACACATTAAAAATAGATTAAATCATGAGGAGGATGTTTCTGAGTATTGGTACATGGAAGGCCTTTTTTCCTTCTAGCATTTATGTCCCAAATAAATGCACGAAATCTCTGACATTTCAGTTTTGAAGTTTCACAATGCAGGCTTTCTTTCTAATTAAATGCTGCTTCTGTTCCCAACCGCAGTGAAGATTTCTAAGTTTTAAAGTTATTCTTTAATGATGGGCTTCGCGTGATCAATGCATAGTTAATAATAGTATTTTATACCTGGCATTATTTATTGGAAGTGATTGAAGCGGTTTAAAGGCTTTTATTTATAACATCATGGGGCAATGGTTAGCATTATAATTTTTTTTAACCTTTGGTAATAACAGAAGTAGAAAGAAATTAAGTCTTTCTAGCTTTTCAGAAGAAAAATAGCATGTAAATACAAATTATTAGTGAGTGATTTGTTTGTAATTCACAAAATGTCAGTAGGAAACAGCTGTCTGTAGAAATATTTGACTCTAAACTTCTTATTTTTCCAAAGTAACTTGTTGAGAGTCTTTGGTGGTAGTGGTGGAAATGGCGAGATGTCCTTGCAAATTGAAAAAGTAAATGCTAATGAAGGGATATTTTCTCTTCTTTCCCTTCATTTCAATGAAGCAAGTTATGGAAGAGTACCCACAGGATTCAAAAAATTGAAATTTGTGCAAGTATTAAAAGTTTTGTTTTCTTTACTCATAATTCTCATTTTGTAAGTCAATTAAATGCATATTTTAATAAGCATATTGACAGTTTCTAAATTTCTAGAATAGTGACTAGAATTATAATGGGTCTTTTTGAATGTGCTTATTACTGTCTTTTTACCCCAACTATCTACCATCTTGCCAGAAATCATACATTTTTTAATCCTGTATTAAGTTTTGAATTTTGTTTTTCAATTTCTTTATTATATTGGAAGTGTACTAAGACTTAATAAGAAAAACTACAGCCAACTCTCAAATTAGGGCCATTATTGTCATTTAAAGAGAGCAAAGTTGATTAGAGAAACATTAGTAAAATGAGAAATATTACCCGAGTTCTGAAAGTGAAAATAGCATGTGCAAATAATTGGTCTTGGGTAAACTGTAAATTCTCAAGGACAATGGGTAATTTTTTTCTTTCTTTTCTTTTTCTTTCTTTTCTATAAGGTTTTTGCCTGGGTTTTAAGTGTTCTCCATAGACAGAGAGTAAATGAGAGGGATCCCCTTTGGGGATGACCATGCCACAACCCTTTTCCATCCATTTCATCCATTCTCCTCCTGGGACTTTGGGCACACACGCGCGTGCACCCGGTGTAGTTTTCAATCCGCCAGGTCCAGGACTCAAACTGCATTCAGCCATGTGAGAATCCAGGGCCTTAACCACCACTTCACCTGCTAGCCCCCAGGTGATCTTTTTAACTCACAATTTTACTTGTAGCAATTAGTACAATGTCTGGCACCAAAGAAATATTTGTTTAATACATGAAACCAAATTTATATGTTGGCACCATGCCAGTACAAGACTTTCTTCCTCTAAGTACTTATTCATTCCAAATAGGAATTAAATTTAGTTTAGTTTCAAGCTTTGTGACTATGTTAAAATAATCCGATAATTACAGAACTCAGTTTTTTTATTTCTGACTCTTAACATTCATTAGTTCTTTAATTCAAAAAAACTACACTAATTGTATCTAGGTACCCGTGCTCCTGTTGAGGTTTGTAAGGCACTTACGGTTCAAGTGCATACAAATTAGATTATTGTGAAAATTATTTATTTTTTAACAAATATTTTATTTAACTGTATTTTTAAATTTTAATTTGATGAGAGAGAGACAGAGAGAAAGTGAGAAAGCAAGCCTCCAGGTCCAAAACTCAAATCGTGATCAACCTATGGGATGCCAGTGCCCTTAACCACCATGTCGCCTGCAAGCCCCAACATTGTGTAAATTCTTAATGGATTTGCCTTTTGAATAACCTATGCAGAAGGCTATTCAAAAGGTTATTCAGAAGGTTATTACTCTGAGAATGTAGAAGAATAGACACCGCTATTCCCATTTTTAAAGTTAGACACAGAAAAAATTTTTTTAAAAATATGTTGATTCAGAAAACTTCATTTTATCCCTTGTTTTCCCTCTGTATTCTGAGGCTTTGCCATTTATACTAATACATTACACACATTTCCATTTAGGGAGTAGGATTTAAAACTAGTTCAAAACAAATACATTTATGAAAATATTTCAGGAATTGGATACCCAAACTAGAAAATAGCTCAAATCGTTGAGACAACTAACATTTACTTCACTGTATAATATTTAATGGGAATAGTTGGATTTGTAATGGCTCCAATATGCTCTCATACACATAAATGCATGCCATGGCCCACTATCAGTTGTGTAAATATCTGCTAATTATTGATCATAATGTAAATATTTTGTGAAGATTTAAGGAGAAGTTCATGCTTAGCAACTATGGCACTAAAAAATATTTAAGAACAGTGCTTGCTTCAGCAGCACCTATACCAAAATTGGATATTATTAGTTATTATAATTATAATTATTAATTATATAATAATTATTATAAATATTGTTAATAATTAATGATAACAGAAAAGATTAGCTGGCCCCTGCATAAGAATGACACACAAATTTGTGAAGTAGTCTATATTTTTCCCTGTTAAAAATTATGTTTATGGTATCATCCTTGATTTGATTTTTGAATACTACTTACAGACCTTGAAAAACATAATGTATGATGTAGAGATGTACAATGATTGACTATAAATCATAATAATAAAATTATATGTATAAACAGGCATTATTCTTATGTTGCTGATGCTAGACTGGTATTTCCTATGATATAGAGCTATAGTTCACTGAAATGACAATGAATTCCTACTATACAACTCACTGTCTTAAGCACATGTCAAATGGAATAATGGTTGGGATGCTGAACTCCCACATGGACAACCATGGTTCAAGTCCCAGACCTGAAGATTGGCCTTCTCATTCCCCTCTCTCTCTCTGTCTCTCTCTGGTCACATTTAAAGAGAAAAGAAAAAAAATAATAATGAGGATGAATAAAATTTAAAAATTCTTTTAAAAATATTACACCATTCATTGTCATAATAATGGCGGTGTGTTTTCCATTTAACAAACAGGGAAAATGAGTCTGAGGAATAGAGTAAAATTTCCAGTCTCCAGAAAGTTTATTAATAATAGAATTGACATTCTAAGGAAAGTTTTCAACTTCTAACTTCTGGGCTCTGTAACAATTCCTATTCTGACTGTGTTTCTTGAATCCCTACCTTCCCACTCAATTTGCTGCTTTTAATCACCTATGGAACAGGGGAATCAGAAGAACTAATTTTCTTAGAGTTGGATATGAAAATAAGGTAGAGTAATAATGAGGACATGAAGGTCAATCTAAGAATGAAATTCATGAGCTTCAGTCAATGAACTTTTTAATATCCATATTCATGATGTGAGAACTTTGCCAATTGTTGGAGCTGTGTGAACTGATATTAGTGCCCCTGTAATGGAAGAGACAAACCCATTGGAAATCCAAAGGGTGATCAAACGGATGATAGACAGGATATTAATAAGGGTATGATGTATGATAAAGGTGGAAGTTTGTTTACATTCTTACTCCTGCCTATACATAGTACCACAAACTAGGTAACTTATAACAGAAATTTATTGTCTTACAGTCTGAATATTGGAAGTCCAAATCAAAGTGTCCTCTGAGTCATGCTTTCTTTGACACATCAAGGATATAACTCTTCCTTACCTCCTCTAGCGTCTGGTAGCCTCAGTTGTCTCTTGATTAAGGGCAGTATAACTCCATTTTCTGCCTCTGTCTTCACATGGCCCTCTTCTGAGTCTTCATATGACATTCATATTTCAGTGCTTAAATTGGATTATTATAAGATTACCCACCAAATAAAAATAGGATCCACCCTAATGGTTTCATCTTAACTTGAGTACACTTGCAGAGACCTTCTAGGACTTAGACCTATCTTTAGGGGGACACAATTCAAAGTTTCATGGACAAGACAGAGGGAAAATTATGAAGAAGTATTCTTAATATTAAAACAGTGATGGCCAAATACTTTTAAAATTTATTTATTTACTCTATCCAACAGTGAGAGAAAAAGAGATAGAGAGTACCCCTCTCATGGGATCCTGAAGCCATAATACACTCCTACCTTCATAAGGTAGAGTAATAATGAGGACATGAAGGTCAATCTAAGAATGAAATTCATGAGCTTCAGTCAATGAACTTTTTAATATCCATATTCATGATGTGAGAACTTTGCCAATTGTTGGAGCTGTGTGAACTGATATTAGTGCCCCTGTAATGGAAGAGACAAACCCATTGGAAATCCAAAGGGTGATCAAACGGATGATAGACAGGATATTAATAAGGGTATGATGTATGATAAAGGTGGAAGTTTGTTTACATTCTTACTCCTGCCTATACATAGTACCACAAACTAGGTAACTTATAACAGAAATTTATTGTCTTACAGTCTGAATATTGGAAGTCCAAATCAAAGTGTCCTCTGAGTCATGCTTTCTTTGACACATGGAGGATATGACCCTTCCTTACCTCCTCTAGCGTCTGGTAGCCTCAGTTGTCTCTTGATTAAGGACAGTATAACTCCATTTTCTGCCTCTGTCTTCACATGACCCTCTTCTGTGTCTTCATATGATATTCATATTTCAGTGCTCAAATTGAATTATTATAAGATTACCCACCAAATAAAAATAGGATCCACCCTAATGGTTTCATCTTAACTTGAGTACACTTGCAGAGACCTTCTAGGACTTAGACCTATCTTTAGGGGGACACAATTCAAAGTTTCATGGACAAGACAGAGGGAAAATTATGAAGAAGTATTCTTAATATTAAAACAGTGATGGCCAAATACTTTTAAAATTTATTTATTTACTCTATCCAACAGTGAGAGAAAAAGAGATAGAGAGTACACCTCTCATGGGATCCTGAAGCCATAATACACTCCTACCTTCAGGGACACAAACATGCCCAGCGTACTCAAGGAAGTTTCCAGAACTAAATACAGAACCTTCCTATGTGGGTCAACCTTATAAAATGTCATGTTTACCACTGCATCACCTTGAAAATGGCCAATTCAGGCCAGCACATAATCTCATGATTAAGGTAGCTGGATCCCACATAGATGACTTCGTATTGGAGTTCCAGACCTGGTGACCTGAAAAACGTGCCATGCCAATGTGTGTGCCCAAAATCCTCAAAGGAGGGAGAAATGAGGAGAAGGGATTTCAATGTGACCATTCCTCACGGGATGGAGAGCAGGTTCTCATTTTCTCTCTCTTTCTCTGTCTCTCTCAGGTAAGCACATGCACCCACAGACAAGACATAAATAAATTGGGTAAATTATTGTGCAAGGATTAGGGAAGGAGAATTTCAGAATAAACACCATGAATAGTAGATGAGCATCAAGGTGCTCCTCTTGGTCCTAGAATCCTTTTAGTGTAGATGCATCAATGAAAACTTGAGCAGACCAGTTTTTAACTTTTGAAGCTATCCCAACTTTTGATCATTGATTAAATAATCTCTTGACAATTGGAAATGACAAGTACTTGAATGCAAGAGTCCAAGAGAAAGATGAACACTCACAAAACCTAGCTATCAAGGGCAGCCTCAGGTTTTCCACAAGGGCTTAAAACTGGGTTGTAGTTAGGCATAAAAAGAAAAAATGAGCAGAGAGGAGTAAGGACAAGGAAGTACACACCAATAGTCTTCAAAAATGCCTTGAAAAACACACTCTTAAAAAACTACCTATGGATTTAAAAATAATAATAAATCATACCAATATAAGCTCATATTTTAATTCTATCTATGATATTTTAAAAGCCTCCTTGTATTTAAGCAAAAAAATACTAAACACAAAGGGCTAGGAACAGGCATAAAAAGCAAGCATTACAAAAAAACTCTGACTGAAATCTTACTTTTTAACATTTACAATGAATGCATGGATTTTTCACACAGCACACAGTGAATCTCAGATAATCAGGTATTATACACAATACAGATATGAAAACATTACTCTGAATTATTAGGCCATTAGCTCTGCATGAAACATAATTCCGGAAATATGTCAACGATTTTATGAACATTTGTCATCTTCTTCAAGTCAATAATAATTTTCTAATGAGTTTTATTTTATCAATAAATGGTATGTTAAAAAAAAAGTCACTGGAGTAAACAAGTTCAGAGTAGTGAGAAGTGAGTAGTTCAGATTTTATGTGTAAAACTTGATCCTTATTTAAAATACAAGGAAGAGATACATGATAAAATCATTTTGTAATCATATTTGTATTTTGTAAATAAGTCAAGCAGGCATTTTTTTTCCTGTGTGTAAATATCTCATGAAATAATCATCTATAACCATTCACTTCATTTTCACTTTGTGAACTCCATTTCTAATCTTTTTTTTTTCTTAAACGTGGCCCTCTATAAAAGGCATTTTTTTTCCTGTGTGTAAATATCTCATGAAATAATCATCTATAACCATTCACTTCATTTTCACTTTGTGAACTCCATTTCTAATCTTTTTTTTCTTAAACATGGCCATCTATAAAACTCTAAACACATTTCATCTATGAAATTTGGATGGAGTGATGTTTCTACTATTAAACATGAGAAACAGGAGAGCTATGGAAATTCTGCTTCCATTTCCTATTAGCAAAATACTTGCAGGTCATTACCCTCATATGGCACTGTTCTCACCTGAAATTGGAAAATTAAGAAATTTACTTCCATATGCATTTCCACAGCATTCAGTGTACTTGGTATTTTCTATAAAGTGTAATAGTTAAAAGTTTAGAATCTGAAGCCAGAATACAGAATTTTAAGGTGACTTATAAATTTGCTTTTTTGTTGCTATGAAATGATAATAAATACTGCTGCTATTGATAAAATCATAGGATGTATGATTCCATTGATAAGGAATCAGTGAGGTAATGGGACATGTATATGAACATCTGTCATCTGTCACATAATCAGTCTACACTGAATGTCACTTGTTACTGTTATTATTCTATACATTTTCAAAACCAATCATAATTTCAGTTTCAGAATTTCTAAATAAAAATTTCTCTTTTGGGGTCAATAGTTGGTGTGGAGGTTATCACATTGGATCCCATATGGCTGGTTTTGTGGCACAAGTCTCAGACCCAGCTGCTTGAAAAACATACTGAGCACATGTGCATGCATACCCAAAATCCCAAGAAGAGAATGAAGGAGAAGAGATTGTGGTGTGGCCATCTCCCCTGCCCCCCAAGAGGATCACTTTCTCTCTTTCTGGCGAACACATATGCCCAATCGCAACAGGAGGGCCAGGAGAAGGAAGACAAAACAGAAGAAAATACAAAATGTTGTTTTTTGTTTGTTTGTTTTTAATGAACCAACACTACTTCCACTCTAAACAACAATTCTTGTTTCTCCAGAATATTCCATGTGACACATATGTTCAAATACACAGAGCACCACAAATGTTAACTTTAAAATAACTTCCACTGTTGAACGCCATAAATGTAAGACATAATATTTCTTAAAAACCATCTTTCTTTTCTTTATCATCTATTTTCTGCATATGTCACAGCTACACACATACTGCGTCTT